TTTTGGGCCGGCGAGACGACAACACAGATAGCTTTGATGGCAGAGCTAGTTCCCTATCAATAACGTCTTACTCAAACAAAGGCTTGGAAAACGTTATTTAACAATAATTAAGGCTGGCATGCAGCTAAAATATTTTTAAGGACCGTTCACACTGAGGCAGCAGTAGGACAACACTACCCGGCAACACGAGGAAATCGTGTTGCCGGCGACCCTGTCTCATCGCGGCAACGACAACAGTCGGGCAACATGTTGCTGCCACCCGGACACTGCGTTGTCCGATTTGTTGTCCGACAACCCTCTGACATTGGGCGCGTTAAGTTAACGCGCTCGAGCGCGCTCCAGCGGTCAAAGTGCACTCGAGCTAAACTAAACGACATCGTCTCACTTCCGGTGCACGGTGGCGGAGCGCGCTCCGCGAGCTCCGTCGTCGGAGATGGTGCGCGGGAGCTCGCACAGGTTCGTTTCCGGTGTGATGACGACGTTTCCGCTCTCGCGGCCGGTCTCACGGATACTCGAGGTAGTTTCACGCGGTGGTCTCGTTCGAGACGGAAGAAACATCAAAACCTCAAGCGTTTTGGGCTCCGGGCCGGGCCGCCGGGACACTCTGGATCAGAGGCGTCGTAGGGTGTGCGCAATCCCCGGCGAGCGAGTTCGCTTCCGAACGCTCCGAGGATGCCACCGCGCTCGCCTCGTCAAACCTCGCCGACCGCGACCGCACCAACTGAACCCCGCGGCCGAAAGGCTCCGGCCTAGCCAGGAACGGCACCGAGGTAGGCACGGTCGTGGGTAGGAGCTGCTCGCTCTGCGATACCATGCAGTGCTCGGAGCTCTCGGCGGCGTTCGTGCTTGCGCCGAAGCCTTTAGGGACTCCCTCGGACGCGCAAGTCGCGCCTGCTTGGATGCCTGGATACTTCGACGGCGATCGCTTGGCAGCTCGTGCAGTCGTTCCGTCATTGTGGAAAATACAAAAATAAAAAAAAAACATGGTGCTGGTGTAGAAAGGTGTGCATACATCCTTCAAATGCTAGTCGAAGTTCTTCATGTACCTTACCGCAATTTCAGGATCAGGCGAGCCAATGAATTCGGCCTTTCAGCCGTCATTCTTTAAGGCTTTTGGGAATTCAGGGGACGTTCGGCGTACCTTTAATCGCCGCACCAACAGCGTGCAGCACAAATAAAGCTCTTGCTGTTGCCGACGTCTCCGCGCACTTATTTCATCGAACTCGCCGTCGAAGAGACACTTTTTCGACGTTTCGATATACTGCAGTTTCGACGAAACGAGCCATGTTTACGCCGTTTACGCGCGCCAGAAAGCCGGAACCGGAAACGTTAAAAAAATAGGCGTCAGATGGCGCCTCGGTACTGAAGTGCGCCGTTAAGCTACGCTCCGAACCCGCGCGCTCGAGCGCAGATGTCCGGAGTCTGGAGCTCACTAACTTAACGCGCCCATTGCGTTGCCGGCGGGGAGAACACGGGGAACGTTCCGCCATCTTGATTGTTTACCTCCGTTCGTGTGCGGCCCGGAGTTGCTGGAAATGACTCTGCAAAGTGATAGTGCGCTCGAAGAGCCGGGAATTACCACAAGACGACATCAGCCAGTGAGTGTGATTAGAAAACTTTTCACGGGGAGTATTTTTCACCCCTTATTTTATCAAAAGATTTTCATTCGCTGTCAAAACAGATGGCCCTAACCCAGGAAAACCGTATGAAGTGTTTCTGTCCGCGTCTTTCCTTCGTGCAATTCCAACTTCTACTGTAAAATGTAGTTAGCACCGGCAATACCCCAAAACGTCTTTTGTAGCGTGGTGTTGGCTGAGCTGACAGTGCTTCGAAACTTCAACACCGACACGATCGGCCTTCAAAACAACCGGTCGAATAAATATTTCTCAACGCTGTCTATTTGACTACTGCCTGCTATGTTGTCACTTGATTCCTGCAAAACGTCCAGTGTATTTTTGAAACAAATCAGGTGTCTCGTAGTGGCAGTTTCCAAGTTCCAAGCATCAACAATCATGATCAGAGTGTCCGTTTTAATGCTTCGATTTTTTAATCTTTGCTTTCCTGGATTATCTTCATTACACGTTATCAGGGGGTGAGCAGGCGTTCCATTTTATTTCGCTAGCAGTGATGTGAGCTGGTCTCTCGCCAGTTCTAGTTTCAACACCGGTCCGAACGTTCACGACCGCAGCTGTGACCATTTCGACAATCACCTCCGTAATTGCGCAGTAAAAACATTCAGCAAACTATTTTAAATGCACGCCAGCCTTAATTATTGTTAAATAACTTTCTCGAAGCGTTCGATTGAGTAAGACGTTATTAATAAGGGAACTAGCTCTGCCATTCAAGCAATCTCTGTTGTCATGTTGCCGGCCCAAAATTCGCTCAGCCAGCGATCAGGGCAACACAGGTTGTCCAACACAGGTTGTTCAACACAAGTTGCAGGTGTTTTTTTTTTTTTTTTCCGAAATCTGTGATACCAAGGCGGCATTTTAAAGTTCGTCCATGTTGTGAGGCTGTTGCCGCGATGTGACAGGTTTGTCGGACAACACGGGGAGCGAGCAACAAGTTGCCCGACTGTTGGACAACGTGTTGTGTTGCTGTTGCCGTCTTGTTGCCTCAGTGTGACAGTGCCTTTACGAATATGTTTACTGCGGAATTACGGAAAATAACTGCCGAAATGGTACAGCCATGGTCGTGAACGTTCAGACTGGGGTTGAAACTAGAGCCGCCGAGAGAGCAGCTCACATTACTGCTAGTGAGATAAAATGGCATGCCTACTCACCCGCTAATAAAGTATAATAAAAAAATCCAGAAAAAAAAATATAAAAAAAATTGAAGCATTAGAACGACCACTCTGACCATGATTGTTGATGCATGGAACTTAGAAACAGCCGATATGAGACACCTGATTTGTATCAAAAATACCCAGGACGTTTTGGGGATTGAAGCGATCACGTAGCAGGCGGTAGGCAAATATACAGCGCTGAAAAATTGTAATCCACCGATTGTTATGAAGGCTGATCGTGTTGGTGTCACAGTTTTGAAATTCTGTCAGTTCAGCTCAACACCACGTTACAGAAGACGCTTTGAGGTACTCGCGGTTTTTACTAAATTTTACAGAAGAAGTAGGAATTGCATGAAAGAAGGAACCGAACATAAACACTTCATATCGGGTGGCGTAAATTCCGAACATATATCACCGATCTCACTTTCCTCGGTTAGGGAGGGCTATCTGCTTTGTCAGGGAGAGAAGAATATTTTGATAAAATAAATTGTAAAAAATACTTCCCTTGTCAAGTTTTCTAATCACAGTCACCGGTTGAGGTCGTCCCGTGGTAATTTCCGACCCTTCGCACACACTAGCACTTTGCAGAGTCGAATTCTAGCGACGCCGCGCCGCACTCGAGCAAACGTAAACAATCAAGACGGCGGAGTGTTCCCCGCGTTGTCACCATCGTCAGCGCGGTGCGAGAGAGTAGTCGGACAACAAATGGGACAACACTGACACTGCCACGCGACTTCCGGTAGCAACATGTTGCCCGACTGTTGTTGTTGCCGCGATCTGTCAGGGTCGCCGGCAACATGATTTCCTCGTGTTGCCGGATAGAGTTGTCCAACTGTCGCCTCGGTTTGACAGGGCCTTTAACTGCGTTTCGACAAGCCTGTCAAATAGCTTATGCACAAACATCGAAACGGACAGCAATTACAGTACTTACAGATAAATGTCTCGTGGTCAAGAGTGACTTCGCTGGGCGAGAAAATGTAGTGCAGCTCAATGAGACAAGACTTATTTATTATTTTATTAACAGTTATCCGGAGTTACCGCAGAGTCGGTGGCGCTTTCAATGAGTTGAGTTTAGCAAAGGACTAGCTCGAAGGCCTTGGTACGCAAAGTTCGCTCACTCCCGGAAACCCGCTGTCAAGATGGAACATTTTTTTTTTAAATTCATCAACTTCCAGACTTCCCGTGGACGGTTTTACTGAAGGAAAGTTGTTTTGTTTACTCCACTATACGAGAGAAAGCTTGCCAGCTCAGCCATGGGTGTTCCAGCACGTTCCATTTTTTTTTTTAAATCGACGTTCAAACGCTGGACAAATACCGGTTTGATCTCCAAGCACCCGATATAATGATATCAGCATATCATATTATACTCGCTTTCGAGCACGGCGCCCAAGATTCAGTATGCCCATTTTCGTAGGTTTCTCCCGTAGACTTGCATGTGTTGCCTGGTGTCAAGTAATGGCCGCCGGTGGTGCCGCTGACGGGCTCCCGATCCGTGATGTTGCAACAGAGATCAGTGAGCGGCGCACGACCGACCAACGTTGCGACGGATGTGGGGCTGCTACTTCGGAACTGTCGTTCGTGGTAGCGGCCTATAGATTTTCCAGCGCAGAACATGGAGCGGGAGGGGTACAAGTTCAAAACAATCGCACAACAAACGGGGCACACAGCTACGTCGTCTGCTTCACACGCCGGAAAACTAAAAAAAAAAAAAAAAAAAAAACGGTATGGTGTAGTCCCGTGACTTCTGGCCATGAGCTTCCGTGTTCGTGTTTCGGTTTCGGTTCCGGAAAGTTTTTTTATTACTTTATTAAAATATACGTGACTCTGCAGCAAAATATTGGTTGCGTATTCTCCCGACACCATATTAAATCACCTAGTTAGAATTTCAAAAAAAAAAAATTGGGGGAGGGGGGTGTAAGTGTTTCTTTATGCCACGTCAGTAAGCGTAAATCATTCCACTGAGGACTCTCTGGGCCGCGCCATTTCGTTCGCCTGCAGTGCCATCCACGTACATCCGGGCATTTCAACGAAATCGTCGGCGCGCAGGAGGAAAGGGCACGGGTCTTTCTCGTTGGTTCTCATTGTTCGGGCATTTCCGGTCGGCTCTGCCGCCGGAACTGCCCAAATATGGAGGCTCATTTCGCTCTCTCTTTTCACCCCAGTATATGGTGTATCGTTACTGGAAGAAGAGTCCCATTTTTCGTTTTGCTTACAGATGAGCGGTGAGGAGTTGGAGAAGAATCTGTACCACGACAGGCGTCACATGTCAGCACTTTCGATAGAAGAGGTGGACGGAGGTTGGGAGGTGGTAAGGTCACTGGAACGGCTATTTCGACCTATCCTTTAAACATTAATTGGGGCGTTGACTAAGCATTTTTCTAATCAAACACTGGCGATGAATAAATTTCATAACTGAGTCGGCCACAGCATTTTTACATCCGAGATCTTTATGAATACCCAAAAGGCAACATGCGCGATCTTTTGTTGACATTTCAGGAACGCGCTTCACTTCGTTAACTTTAAAAAAGAGTGTAATCTAGTTGCTTTTGCTTAACAACTTGGAAAGAATAAGTTCGAAAACAGCAGGATTGTTTTTTTTTATGATGGTGTTTATTACTATTCTTTTTTTCATCTGGTAGGCTAGAAAATGTATACTTTAAATTTGCAGAGGGGAGTCCTGAGCGACAAGTTGAGGATTGAACCAATGCCATTGAAGGCGCGCTCTGGAGACGGAAGCATTGCCCACAAGGTTTCAAAGATTCAGAAAGAGGAAAATTACGAGAATGATTACATAGGTAATATCACCACTTCATCAGTTATCACGCTAATCATTTCAGTAGCAACGCTGTTTAAACGTTGTCTATAACTGAAGTGTTTTTTTAATCTGGCATTTTTTAATAATTTTGACGCATGGTAATTTTTCACCACTTAGCGAGAGACGATGATTTTTAGTTGGCTAAGGGGCGTCGTTTGTTAACCGACCGCTGCAATGTACACTTTACGCCGCAAACGCTAAAATATGGAGTTTTTTTTTTGTATCTGATATTTATTTTGTATTTGCTGAGGGTACATATCCGACGCGGCAGAGTTAGCCTCTTCTCTGCGTCTTTTGAGCTCCACACCTCTTTATATTACATTAACGCCTAAAAAGTATATTTGTGCGCAAAAAATACCCTCGTTGAAATAGCAGTGTCGCGGGACTTGTTTACACAACAATGCAGCCCCAGACAACTCAACGTAATTTGATAATATTGAGTACAACACGGTACATACCATGCTATAAAAAGTACTATGCAATATATAAAACACCATATTTTCTGCATTCAATACAATAAAATGCGGCACAATTCCTTTCAGTTGCACCCGATTTCGTGGTCTCTGCAAGATCTGCAGATTCAAAGCAGGGTGAGTAAAATATTCGTTGGCGCCCTGACGAACGATGAGACTCCGTACCACTGCATGCAAAAGAACTGTAACCTTTAGCTTAAGCATCTTATCCGCCCCGTCATTCGCCGAGTACCCTCACAGATTGCAGCGATTGTCTCTATACCAACTTCAAGTGCTCTGCGGGAGAGCACAAGTTCAGGTTTGTTAGAGTATTTTCTGGGGTGGTATGTATCTATTTTTTTTATTTATATTGTGTTACCCCCCAGGGCCCGAATGCATTATTGCAGGGGGGGGGGGGGGGGGTACACAGACAGTCGTGAAGGTAGAAATACACTCGTGCATCTGTACCAAAAAATAAAACAACGAGGGAACGCAAGCACGCAACAAAACACACTCATTAACAAAAGCCAGCCCGGAATAAGATAAAAGCCACATTGGTAATAGCTCGCATTCCAGGTATTTGCCAGATAATAACATCAGCTGAGGAAGATATTGGCTAACAGCAGTAGCAATAACTCTCGCTTTCCGCGTCACACATGAGTAAAAACAGAGATGCAATTTTTTCCAAATACGTTCAAAGGGTAATAAAACAATCAAAGTAGGAACAGCTAAACCAACAGAAGTATCACGCCCAGTAATCACTCGAATTCTCATCGCAATGATTAAAAATTTTCCTAGTCATGTCAGTCTACCCAGCTGTCACGTGACAGTCGGTTAAAGAAGAGTGAGTTTGACAAGATAGAAATGGTGTCCTTTGGTAGGTGATTCCACGCTTTAAGAGTGTTTGAAAAAAAAAGAAAAATTCAAAACATTTGTTCGGGGTGTCGATTCCCAAATTTTTGCCTTAGTGGTTTAACCTTTTATATACACAGTTGGGTGGTTGAATGAACTTTGCTTTATTCATCCCGGTTTGACCATATTAAATTGCACGAAAAACCTTCAAGCGAAGACCTGGCTCCCACTCCAATTGTTTTTTTTTAGAGTGATACCACTTTCTCTACAATTGTAATTTCTCGTGACAAATCTCGCAACCCAACTTTGTACTTTCTCTATTTCGTTTTTCCTTTCTGTTTCTAAATAACTCTCTTTTGGGTCCCAGAAAACACTGGCGTGCTTTAGTATTGGCCTAACGTTAGTCTTAAACAAAGTTGCTTTCCCAGTTTCAGGACAGACCCTGAAAATTCGTTTCAAAAAGATTAACATGCGGTTGACTTTGGCCGTGATGAAGTCAATGTAGGCGCTCCATGACAGATTCTGAGCGAATTCAACATCTAGATAATTTACTACTTCCTCCTTCTTCGGTCGGACACCGCCGATCAAGTACGGAAAGGATACTGGTTGACATTCCCTAAAGAATGCCATCCGGTAGCATTTAGTAATGCTAAGCTTCATTCCCCAAATCAGTTAAAATACCCTCCCCTTCGGCAACAAAGGTTGACCATTAGGAACTTATGATTTCTCACTATCGATTAGTATTTTATTACGCAAAAGAGTGCAACAAATGCGTCAAAGACCAACCGAAAAACGCACGGAAAGCAGTAATAGAAGAGGTAGTTCCACTCACTTTTTGTTTTTTTAGGCAACAAACCGCATAAAGATTCTTGCAAAAAAAAATCAACAACCTTTTATTTTTTAATGAGGTTACAGTTCTGGTTGTTTGACATTAAATGCGCTCGCTTATCCAGAGTAGTGAGAACTTTTTGCATGATCCGATTTGTGTCCGATGTTTTTATAGTTTTTTCGCTGTTTCAGCATGTGGACGTTAAATCACTAGACACGAGGCATTAGAAAAGTAGAAAGCTACTGATATTATTTCAACACCAGAGGAAGGTACACGACCGGTCAAGCGACCACATGCATCGATGATTACTGCCACCGGGCTAAATTCGGCGCAACTTTTGCCGAACTTTTCTAAAAATACAATACAAACCCTGACAATATAAAGTCACTAGAATCTCGAGGAACGCAGGGAGCGACTTTAGTTTCTGCTTCATGATTCGTTCTACGGCATTCCGCTAAAACCGCGGTCCCATTGACTGGGGTGAGGTATAGAATGCTCGACTCTCGCCATGCCCTGCGTGATCCTTATGCTGCCAATAATGATAGCGTAATCTGCTGTACAGTATAATTGCTCTTACTGAATGACCACTGTGTGATATAACTTTTTTATTTTTTTCCATGCAGTCACGGCGCATGCGCGAGAGGCGGTGTTCGTCGAATTGAGGATACTATGCGATTCTCACCATCACAAACATCATTACTTCAAGAAACCAAAAGAAGTACTCGTCTACTTGGCGCTTTCGATAATCGCAGTAAGACACGGTCGTAGCACTCCAGCAACGTCACTGTTACTACGCTGCATCCACGATTTGTGTTATATGTTCTATGTTCTATGTTATATGTTCTCCTAGACTGACAAAGCCTGGCAGAACGCCACGAGACGCGACCGCCGAAAGTAAATAGGTAGAGCGGAAGAAAAGAGTAGGGAGGCTCTAGTGAGGGTGGGCGCAACTACAAGATCGCGGATCACGGGATATGGACACCATTTATTTGCTAAATTTTGCTGGAAGTCTATGGGGCAAAGGGTCGTTTCATTTTCTAACTCAGGGCATAAGAGCCCATTCATGTGCTTGAATAATTTACGCAAGGTATAAATGATTACTTTTCTATCGCCACCAGTTTTGTTCCGATGTGAAGTATTTGTTTAACGCGAAAAATGGTAAATTCCGCCATCTTGGACGCTGCTGCTTATCTGGCAACCCTGGTTTCTCCTCTCGGCGTTTGCAATCTTTGGAATGAGAAGGAAGCCAGAAAGACTACGCCAATGCCCTCATTGCTTGCAATGGGAGGCGAGAGGAGGAAAGGCGCATGGAGCAGCAGAGTTGCAACAGAGCGGGTGTCTGCTCTCGTGCAGGCAACAATAGCGCATATCCTTTCCCCATCCTCTCCCTCAGGCGCCGCCATTAAATTCCAAGCGCCCTCCAGGATTTCAGTTGCAGCCACCCTCATTAGAGCCACCCTAGACAAGAGTCATGTAACGGGCGCCCCGCTGCGGCGAGACGCCGAAACACATTTCTCCCGAGCGATGGAATGTCCGCTCGTGCTTCTCGCATTCCTCGGGCAACCGCTTCTTTTCTCGTCGGGTTTGAAAACCATGTTTTGGGTCCTCGCCGCTGCAAAAGCTGGGCGCTGGCGTCCAGGTTCCCCGAGAAATGCTCTGTGCTACCAGATCCTCGCGCTTCAAATCTGCGACCGGGCGCTCTATCGGTCCGTCAAAGAACTGCCAGGCTTTGTGAGTATAGAGGCGGCTATGCTAGTACCGGTATCCCCTAGAACACAAGGCCATTCTCTTCCTTCCCTCATACGTCACCGTTAGTGGACCCAGACAGCGCCGCCTACACTGCGACAGCGTCGTCGACAGCGCGCCTTGCGGCGTCTCACAAGTTGCAACGAGCACTACACTCTTAAAAGAAAGCTGGTCAAACAGCTAGGAAGTGCAGCATTTACTATTTTTTTCTGACTGTTACTACCTTTTTATTGGCTATTACTACCGAATTACTGGCTTTAGGGTACCCCAAAGGCGCGGAAAAGACGACGGCCAGCGTTAGCGACGCACTTACTATTCGAACCGCTCGGGGAGTTGTACAGGCACGAATTCTGAAGGGAGAAGCGCGTGCCGCACGCAGCGGCGCGTGCTGAGCTCGTGCATGCTAGTATCGTTTTTGGAACAGGTGACCCTGGGATTTGGAATAAACAAGTCGACAGTCGCCGGTGTCCTTCCTCGCCCTCGGCGGGGCCCGCGAGGACGCGGGCCCCCGCCGTTACCGGGTCGCCTTCATCGATGAACCCGACTTCTACTCCCCGGCCATGACGACGGCTGCAGCATTTGTGCGGCCAAAACAATTTGGCCACACAGAATCGTAACATCAAATATTGCAGGAGGGGGAATGTTTAAGGGTTGGGAGCTGACTTTATAACGATTGCAGCCTCTGTTCCAGCACGTCGTGGATGCCAGCGCTGCCGCGAGCGCGGCCATCGTTGATGCAGTGGCCTTGCGACTTCTGACCTTCCTTCCCGTTTGTTAAAAATAGCCACGTACCACGTGCTAAAAACGGTTCGTAAGACAAGAAAGGATCGTTTTGTTTATTTTTAAAGTGAAAGCGTTAATATGGCGTTATACGCCCCATTACGCGAAAATCTGCCGCCGTCGGCGGCGTGACCAAGGGATGGTACCAAACATGGCCGACGGCGCAAAGAGTAAAAACGCGTCAAAATGCTCGGTTTTACGTCAAGTTTCTCAGGGAGGTTTTTGTAAACAAATTAAATTAATAGCTTTGAAAAAAAAACTTTGGTACATAACGGTCTAGGTGGTAATCGAACCCGGGCCTTCCGGGTGCGAGACGAGCACGCTTTCCACGGCTCTGGCTGACTAAAGGTGTGCCTATGATGTTTTCGCATTCCCACACATAAACAGCCTTAAATGTCTCTGCAGATTTTTTTGTCTTTATATTGTTTTTCTTAAAGGAGCGGCGCAACGATATTCAAATGAAATGTTTGTCACTTTACACGAGCCTACTGGCACGATACTTCGTCTCACCTTACGGTGGACTAAAGGCTCAAGCCATGGGCCGCCAGGTCCAATTACGTTCCACGCTAAAGTATGACACGCTTAGCATTGATTAGGTTTGGACGAGCAATGTTCCGGATTCAAAAACGCTGCGACATTTTTATTGTTTCGACACCGCAAAGAGCTTGTACACTCTCCGGCAACATGAAAGACCCACTGGGAGCGCGTGGCAGGGGCGGTAGCTGAGGGGGGCGCTGCGCGCGCTTTGGGCAATTCCATGTCGCTCGGAGGGGAGGCCTCACTCGGTGTTCAGCTGCGCCAGCCACGCCGAGACGTGCTTAGCAGATTTTGATTTCGGTTTGGCGGGAGAGCGCTTCTTACGCGGCACGCCTGGAAGTATTGTAAAGGAGGCTCGAATGAAGTCTCGTTATCACGTGCGCTTTTATCAATTTTTTATGCAAATTATTAAATCAAGCACTGCGAGAAGACAAAGAATACAGTTATGTTGATGCCCTGTGGAAAGTGCGCTCTCCCACCAAACCAAAAACCAAAATTTAAGCACGTCTCGACGCGGCTCTCCAGCTGTCTCGGCTGAGCACCGAGTGAGGCCTCCCCTCCGAGCGACATGGAATTGCCCAAAGCGCGAGCAGCGCCCCCCTCACCCACCGCCTCTGCCACGCGCTCCGAGTGGGTCTTTCATATTGCCGGAGAGTGTACGTGATGGGTTTCTTTTCATCGTAAAATTCTTGAGTCACTCAGTGCAATTCGATCCGAACCACTGTCCGCTCATTCCCATCCGGTATCCGACACGCGGGCACCGATACGTGCATCGGAGCGGAATCGCACGCAATTTCTAAGTGGCTCGTGATTGGATCTGGCGGTCCGTAGCTTCTCCCTTTAGTCCGTCGTAGGGTGAGATGAAGTATACTGGGACTCAAGGATACCCGCACGCAACGCGACTGAACAAGAAACTCCTTCGTTGCGGCGTAATTTCGAGGACGAAAGCGAGCGTTTTCATTCAATCTCTCCTTCGCAAAACTTGATAGCGTAGCTGGGCGGTCGCAGTATCACCCAGTGACGATATTTGAATGCGGCTCATAGATTGGATCCGAGCATTGCGTGAACACTCGATTAGAGCTCGTTGTAATCGATAGCTCGAGATGCATTCGGGTAGTGCCCCGCGTGTCCAATCACTGCAATGACGACAACAGCCGAACCATAACAATGTCTGGAACTCGGCGGGTGTCCTGTGCCTCGCCAACCCCAGCGCGTGGCTGTGATCAACATTGGCGACATATAATCCGCTCCAGATCACGTGGCCACTTTGTTCTGGCTGCGAGTTGAGGGTGTGAACGCTGCTCGTTTGTCTCTAATTTTTTCTGCGACTTCGATTGCCTATGGTGAAAAACGAACGCATGTTTCATAGGTCATTAACGTCAGAGATCCGTTCTAGGCGGTATTTGCGAAAATGACAAAAATCGTTGCATCGCTCCTTTAATATAGGTTTCTGTTTCATAAGAAAGGCTTGACTACATTTTACGACAAGCACGTTGGGGACAGTCGGAGTTTGCGAGACACTCAATTCTGCGATACGAACCTGCCGTTTTTGCCACGGGTCGTTTGCTGTTCTCATGTTTATGAGTTGGAGTGCGCAGTTAACGTTTGTGCGCTCGACTAGGCGAGTGTGTGCGTGGACGTGGACTGCTCTGAGGCCGGCAACGAGCGTCCGCTAGTCACCGGATCTGCCGCTTGACGACGATCATTTGGTCTGTTCAGTGGCATAGGTTTCGCCATCAAAGAAACTTGGCTGCTCCGATTCTACTTGCCGCTGAGAAGGTCTCCTTCACGGTCTGTGTGGGAATTGGATTGTTCACCCCACGGAAAAGTGCTAAAACGATGCATTCACTATGCTCTGTTGTATAAAACTGCCGCGAACAGAGCAGCCGTGGGATGATAAAATTAGAAAATCTAATTTAATGGAGAATTAAGGGAAAGGTCACACAAGAAAAAAGAGTAAGGTGCCTAAAAGAGGTCTATTAGTTTACAAGAAGAACAAAAAGCTAGACACAAGACCGCTAGATACGCAGGGAATGTGCACTTAGAAATGACAAAATAAAAGTCAAACACAAGAATTTCCCAAAATAAATTTTGAAATGAAAAATAGAATACAAAATTAAGAATAGGAAAGGTGCCTTACGCCCGGGTGCGGTTTGGCAGGGGCACTGTCTTCTTCAGGACGTCCTAAAGAAGACAGTGCCATTGTCCAAACGTTGTTGTTAAATGTTAATGTTAGAATTGTCTGTTTTTATGAAGGTCAATCTGCGATACGAAGCGCTCAGTGACCCAAGAGTTCAGTTCCTCCTTACTGGCGTCACCTTAAGCGAAGTACGTTCTAACCAAATAACTTTTCAATATATATTTCCAGTGTTCAGTATCGTAACTTCTTTACTTATTTTTGCTTCAGGACGACTCACACCTTGTGACGGTGACACGTGAAGAAAGAAGCGGTTCGGTCACAAATAACGTCACGTATTTTAACTCATACGGTACGCTTCATAATCTAGCAAGACTCATTGGAGACAAGACACTGGAAGCTCCTGGCGACGCACTCCTTGTCGTCACAGCGTAAGCACAAACTCAACATTTTATGTGTTGTCTATGTACGCCATCACCTGGACTTCTTCTTCGAAGCCCATCAACCACTGATATATGCAGCGACAAAAACATCTTCCGATGTGGTGGTTTTTATTAAAAATAAATTTAGTGTATGTTTCTGTCCGGACAATATTTACTTTTATTTTAAAAGAAATAATAACGGAATAAAATTAAGCTCCGAATTTCGGAAATTTCGGAACCTAGAAAAAATTAACTCTGGTAAACCCGGAATCGCCAACGAAAAATAAACTAAAAAAATACCCTCCGAATTTTACAACAAATAAAAATCGAGAACACAGGATCCCAATTATATTATACGCTAGAGGTTCCGCTGGCGCTAGTGTGCGGTTTCAAATTAGATCAGAAAGCAACAAGTCTAAAATTGACTTGCGATAATACATCTTAATTTGTAAAGGTTGCTGCATTTCCTTCGTGCGCTTGATTATCTTTTGATTATTTGCTTGATTAAAGCAAATATCTCGAATCACTCTTTTGTAATTCATAGCTTGGTACATTTCTCAGTCGTGTAGTTAAATATATTTGTGTTTTAGGTTTGTTTTCATTTTTAATTAATGGCTTTAAAAACCGTCACAAGCATTGCTTCATAAATGCATTAACGTACGCTGTCCGGCACTGTTAGCGCGAACGAGGCATCGGCGCTTTTCTGCAGGGGGTTAACGTGCCGAATCAATAAAGGGCGTCTCAAAAATCAGGAAACGTCAAGAACTAAGTACCGACACTACATCAGTACCTGCCTGCGCATGTTGACGACCAAAATAAAGTGAAAGCCAAGTAACGAGTGCGATGTTCAATAAATAATGTTTGTTTTATTTTATTTGCTCATGTATACGTACAAAGGGAACTTTGTTTTAGCGTTCAAAACATCGTATCTGCATGCTGGAAAGCGTAGAAAATAGGATGAAAGAAACGAGAAAACTCTTATCGGCCTACAAAAGCAGCATAGTCATAAAAAAGTTAACATTTTATAATTCGCGTACTTTTATTTTTTTACCTTCCACGCGGAACTTTGGGTCACCTTAGTGGCATATCAATCTCGCGGATCATCAATATTAGCGTCATCGGGATGTTGGCGATCTCTTAACGGCGCCTACGTTATTTTCAACTGCTATTCCTGCTTAGATTCGTCGCTTGCTTTTACACACTCTCTGTGGAACATGGAATTCGGCCCGAAATACAGGGAAGTGAAATATCTCTCACTGGTCAGAAAAGTACCGTAAATAAAGCAATTTCACTTTATTAAGGGTAGTGAAGTTACCTACTATTCGGCTACGACACTTGTAAGAAAGGTCATATGACTGTAATTCCCCGGCGGAGAAACAAAATGCATGCGCATTTTCCTATGAGAATGCACAGGAGCACATCAAAAGCGGAGTGGTTGATGTCTACTTTAAAGGGACCATGAAATGACTTTGAAATTGGATTTCATCCACTGCACGTCGTAAAAGATGTGAAAAGAAAACCAAAATAAAAATATAGACCCCCAAAAAAGGCTTCGCTATAGAACTCTTAAAAGAAAAGCGGACTCATTTACACCTTCTTTCCTTCGAAAGCTCTCTGCCTTTTCACCGCGATGCATCAGGGGTGCCACAGCCCGTCAGCCAAATCCACGTCGCCTATTGGATAAGGGCTTATCTCACCAGCACCACGATCATAAACAATAAATAGCCGGCGAATATTTCTTCAAAGTTTTGTTAAAGAATATTCTGATCCACATTATGTTGAATAATTAGTGATGTGACGGAGATTGCCAAATTTTATTATGCTGGGAGCTATCCCTTAGCAAAAAGAGGCTGTACTTGAAACATAGTTGAAATATATTGAATATGCATATTCATTTTGGATTTATCTTGTAATATATTGTTCACATTCGAAATATGCGCGTAAGGTATTCAAGATATATATATATATATATAAAAAGGAAGTGAAAACCGTTTACAACTCCCTGTAACGCCGAATTAGAGCGCAGCTCTTGAGGAGGAGTGGGGAAGGGTCCTGGGGGGGAATCATGTGACCTCGCGGGGGGGGGGGCGGTCACGTGACACTCCCCAGGTCACGTGACCGCGGGAGTCACATGACCTTGGGGGTCACGTGACGCCCCCCGAAAAATTTTTCCGCTAGATTTAGCGGGGAAATTATTCCGCTAAATCTAGCGGGGAAATTTTTCCGCTAGATCTAGCGGTGAAACTTTTTCCGCTAGATTTAGCGGGGCGAAATTTCCGCTAGATTTAGCGGGGAAAGTTTTTCGCTAAATTTAGCGGAGAAATTTTTCCGCTAGATTTAGCAGGGAAATTTTTCCGCTGGGTGTTTTCATCGCAAATCGGGCAGGCTAAAAGGATCTAATTTGTAATTTTGACGAAAAATACATGTCTTGGGGGCATTTATCAAATGAGGGAGGGCCCAAACCGCATGTTCCCCAGATTTTTTGTTCTCTAGTTACGAGCCGTAGAAGACGCAGTGGCAGAAACTAGTGTTTTTGCCTGCCGTCGCAGATCGCGTGTTTGACAACCTCTGCTGACGTTATTGTTTTTCCTACACACTTTTAACATTTCCCCCTCATTTATTATGTATCATAAAGGTACCTTGACGTATTCAAATATTTTTAGGAATTTGATTGTTTTCTCAAAAACATGTCAAACTCGTCACTCCGGTTGCGTTTTGGTGAAAGTTGACAGGACATTACTTTGTCTGTACTAAAGGTAATTTTTCGTTCTTTGGCTCTGCAGAAAGCCCAAAGCCAGCCCATCATAGATATAATATTACCATTATGATCTGTCGACTAGCCGCTCCGCTACCTTCACGTAAACGTTGTAAGAAATAACAAATGTTGAAAGTTTGAGGTCGATTTTTCCAAAAACCCCATTTTTGTAAATTTCTAGTTTTTAAATTCTTTTAGACATATTAGCGACTACGAGGAAAAATAGTCTAGAAATGTAATATTTTTGTTGTATGTCCTCTGTTTCAGCCGCAATCGCGTGAAATGTGTGAACATTTGTTAGTATTCACAACGTTCACGTAAAGGTAGCGGAGCGGCTTCTCAGCAGAACATAATGGTATTACTATATCTATACTAGGCATGCTTAGGGCTTTCAATAGAGATAACTAAATAAAACGTACCTTAAGTACAGACAAAGTAATTATTTGTCAAAGTTGACCGAAAATCGACCTGAGTGGCAAGCTTGACATTTTGTTTAGAAAAAGTCAGCCGTTTACATCTCCCTGTGACGCCAAATTAGAGCGCAGCTCCTGAGGAACGAGTAGGAAAGGGTACTGGAGGGGGGGGAGGAGGAGGGAGGGGTATTGAAGGGAGGGTAGACCCATCCTCCTCCTCCCCTCATTCTCGAATATGCTCCCGGGGGGTCACATGACCTCGGGGAGGAAGAGTCACGTGACCTCAAGGGAGGGGGGTCACGTGACCTCGGGGGAGGGGTCACGCGACCTCCGGGTGTCACGTGACCTTGGGGTGACCTTGGGAGGGGCCACGTGACCCCAAGGTTACCCCAAGGTCACGTGACCCCCAAGGTCACGTGACCCCCCAAGGTCACGTGACCCCCCAAGGTCACGTGAACCCCAGAGGTTGCGTGACCCCTCCCCTAGGGTACCTCCCCCAAGAGGTCGCGTGACCCCCAGGGTCACGTGACCTTGGGGGTCACGTGACCTGGGGGGTCACGTGACCTGGGGGTCACGTGACCTCGCGGTTACGCCGACGCCGACGGCGACGCCAACGCCGACGGCGACGCCGCTCAAGCCGGAAACCGGCCCCTAAGGGCTGCGCTCTAAAAGATCAAATTATTGGAAATATTTGAATACGCCAAGGCATCTTTATAGTATTTATTGAATGACGGGGATAAGTTAAAAAGGTGTAGGAAAAACACTAGCGCCAGCAGAGGGTGTCAAACACCTGACCTGCGATGGCAGGCAAAAACACTAGTTTCTGCCACTGCGGCTTCTACGTTTTGTAACTGAAGAACAAAAATCTGGGGAACATACGGTTTGCGCCCTCCTTCATTGACAAAGGCCCCCAAAACACATATTTTTTCGTGCAAATTAAAAATTAGACCCTTTTAGTCTGCCCGATTTGAGATGAAACCTCCCATATCGGGCCGGCTGAAAGGGTTCACTTTTTAATTTTCCCCCCAAAAAATATATGTGTTGGGGGCGTTTCTCAAATGAAGCAGGGCGCAAACCACATGTTCCCCAGATTTTTGTTCTCGAGTTACGAAGTGTAGAAGCCGCAGTGGCAAAAACTAGTGTTTTTGCCTGCCGTCGCAGATTGCGTGATTGACACCCTCTGCTGGCGCTGTTTTTCCTACACCCTTTTAACTTTTCCCTCTCGTTTAATAGGTACCGTACAAATACATTCACGAATTCAAAATTTTCTAATAGTTTGATTGTTTTCTAAAAAAAATTTCAAACACGTCCTTCAGGTCGATTTTTGGTAAAATTTGACAGGTGATTGCTTTGTCTGTACTTAAGGTACATTTTATTTCTTTGGTTCCCTAGAAAGACCTAAGCATGCCTAGTATAGTTATAGTAATATCATTATCATCTGCTGAGTAGCCACTCCGCTACCTTCACGTAAACGTTGTAAAAAATAACAAACGTTCACACATTGCACGTGATTGCGGCTCAAATAGAGGTCATACAACCAAAATATTACATCTCTAGATTGTTTTTTCCTGTACTCGACTGATATATCTAAAATGATATAAAACATAACATTTTACAAAAATGGGGTTTTTGAGAAAATCGACTTCAAACTTTAAACATTTGTTATTTCCTACGACGTTTACGTGAAGGTAGGGGAGCGGCTAGTCAACAGATCATAATGATATTATCATTTCTATAATGGGCTTGCTTTGGGCTTTCTCTAGGGCCAAAGAACGAAAATCTACCTTAAGTACAGACAAAGTAATGACCTGTCAAATTTGACCAAAAATCGACCTGAGACA